TCTTTGCCTTGTCTACTAGAGGTGGGAAACCTGGCATAATGTTGAGACATCACCTTCCTTCACACCCTTCCATGCTCATGTTACTACCCTGGCCAGGTATTCTGAGTAACTTCTCTGTGGACCACCCAGCATCAGTTGAACCCTAAAATCTCCTGCAGCACTTCATAGAAACTCCCCTTGGGGTCTGTCTGCCAAGGAACTGGCAGTTTGGGGAAGATGACTTTTCCCTTGGGAGCATCCCCTGCTCCCTACTCTGCAAAGAAACCCTTAAAACCTGGGATTGCTTACGCTCCTTTGTGTTAGTCGGTTTTTCTTCCCAAAACCAAAGGTATACAGTCCAACGTGGAGATCTACCAGAGGAGGCTTTGAGTTTCCAAGATCTCAGTTTGTGATTTTGTTAATCTATGTAGGAGGAACACCTGGGTGGTGCAGTTGGTTAAGCCCTGACTCGGTTTCAGCTCAGGTCATGACCTCAGAGCCATGAGATTGAGCCCCACGTCGAGCTTCGTGTCAGCGGGGAGTCTGCTTAAGAGTCTCTCTCCCTCTCCCTCCCTCCCTTCCTCCCTTTCTTTCTCTAAAATAAGTAAATAATCGTTAAAAAAAAAAAATTCTGTGACACCTGGGTGGCTCAGTTGGTTGAGCATCCGACTCTTGATTTTGGCTCAGGTCAAGGTCTTGGGGTCATGGGATCGAGTCCCCACTCAGACCCCACACTCAGTCTGCTTGTCCCTCTCCATCTGCCCCTCCTCTATCTCTGTCTCTCTGTCTCTCAAATAAATAAATAAAATAAAAATCTTAAAAAAATAATCTAGGAGTATAGGGAGAGGTGATGAGCGACTTCTTTTCCTCCGACAAACCATCTTCCCCTTTACTATCAAAGGTAGCATCATTTCCTACTCTTATCAGACTCAACATCCCGAATCATCTGAGCCTGCATAGTGCTGACAGACCTTCACTGAGAGAAGTCAAGTGGCCTTTGCAGAGGCCAGCTGGGCGCCCAGCATCAGGCTGGATGCTTTGCCATTCTCCCAGTAGTATTGCAAAGTGAGTGTTCCAAGCCCCCATTTTGCAGATGAGAAAACAAAGCCTCATAGAGGCAAAATGATGGAACTGGTGCTAAAGCGTAGGCATTGGGGCTCGACAAGGCACGCCTCTCCCGTTGCACCAGACCGACCCTGGGCTACAGCAGTTAGGGATGTTTCTGCTGCTGGTTGCAGAAAACGTCAAAGGTAGGATTTAAACCCAGGCCTGGTCAGCTCTGCAGTCATACACGTTCATCAAACATGTTTTGAGTAATGACTATGTTGTTACTACAGCAAAAATGACATCGTCACTGCTTCAGGGAGTTCCAGCCCAGAGCTGGCGAGAGACATGGAAAATTAGACACAGCATGAGAGCGTGCTGTGCTAGAGGAAGGGAGGCAGCTTGCTCAGGGAGCCCCTGCCCAGCCTGGGGCCCCGGGGAGGTGGTGACGGGGGGCGGGGGGGTGTCTTCTAAGCTGAGGCTCGAAAGAAGAGCAGGATTAGACTAAGGCAGAGGTGGGGGACACATTATATTGTACTTCTAAGAGAGAGGGCCATTTATAATAAATGTATCTGCTTCTTACCATACGTTCTTTACCCCCATAGTTTCCTCGGTTTTCTTTCTGGGGTTTTCTCTCTGAATACAAACTCATCCGAATGCTTCCTTTACCTCTAATTGAACACTCTGACTTAATTGATTATGTATTAAGTCGGGGACTTGGGGCGACATTCCGGCCTGGGCTCATGTTGAGATTAATTTATTCCTGTCGTCCTACTGTTCGGTGATGCATCTGAGTCCCTCACATGTGTGTTAAAAATAAATCTGAGAGTCAGGGCAATCTAATTAGATGGCTCAACCCAACGCTCTGGTGTTCAGTCTTCACCAAGCTCTCCTGCTTTGATGGTAACCAAAATAGATGAATAAGTTAATCAAAGGTCTGATTAAATAGCACAGCTCTGCCGCGTGGACCTATGATTGCCAAGCTTCAGTTCAGGCACATCCTCAGGGGAGAGGAGCAGCTGAGCCGAGTTCCAAAGGCTGGAGCTTTCATGAGGGAAGAGTTTTTTAAAGCCCACTGGAGGCCCTTAACTCGAGGAGCCCCCAGCCCTCAGATCTAAGCTGATGGCGAGTCAGGATGCTAGCTCGAAAGGAAGGATGATGTGGCTTGGGGAAGGAAGGCAAACCTTCCCTTGGCCGATTCTGACTATCGCTTTGCATCTTACCCACTGAGGGGTTGTAGACAGATCACTCACCTTCCTGTGCCATTTGCCCATCTACCCACCTGTCCATCCTTCCGTTCGCCCACCCGCCCACCTCTCAGATAGCATGGTGCATCAGTTCAGCAGAAGGCCTTGAGCTGTGGTTTTGCCATCATTCGTTCAGTTTGGTGACAGGTTGAGATCACGTTCCCTCTGCATCCAGTTGGGTTTGTACGGAGGGGCGCTCCAGCGGGAGAGGGGTGGGCAGGAGGGGAGAGAGGCTGAGTGAGAGGCCTCTCCCTGCTCTGGCCCGTGAAATTGCCACAAGTTGGCTGTGGCCCTCCACCGAAGTTCACGGCTCCTGCCTCGTGGTTTATTCATATGTCTTCCCAGGTGCAACACGGTTCCTTGCTGCTGGCCCTAAATTATGCATCCGTTTCAGTCAATAGTTCTTTTATTATCCCATTTTCCTCGGATCACCCACTTTGAGTGTGCTGTTTCCACCCACCCCCGACTGATACATACAACACATAGTACAAGTAACTGCCTTTCATAGACGACAGAAACTCAGAAAGTCCGGGTGAACTTGTCCAAGGTGACGCAGCCATTAAGTGACCCCGGAATCTGAATCCACCTCTGCCTGACTCCAGAACCCAAGGTTTAACACTGTGCCACACCCCCTTCAGTATGAAGCAAACACTTAACACACTGAGGGGGAGTCAGGAGAAGGGTGGGAGCTTCTGTGGGCCGAACCCTCGCGTCCTTCCATCTCCTTTGATTTTTCCACAAGCCATGCAATGGAAGCATCGTCTCCTTTTTATAGGGAAAGAAACGGGGGCTTAGAGAGACCAATGCCTTGTATGGGGCTGGGGTTCAGATTTTGGCTTTTGTCTCTGCTTTCCTTCCTCCTTGCTGCCCAGGAACACGGTAATGAGGACAACAGACAGAGTTCAAGGTTCTTCCCTGAGACTGACATGTGATGAACAGTTTTGTCCACCGGTTTATGTTTTTTCTCCCCCCACACCAGTCAAAGTTGCACATGTATTGACGTATTGAGAGGATAAGGAGTAGCTGACATGGTATTTTCAAATAAATACCATTTCATCTTCAATAAACTGAAGACGAACACAGAAGATGGAGTGGATTTGAGGGACGGGCTGGATCGTGTGAGTTACCACGGGCGTCCTTTGTCATAGCTTTCCTAAGGCAGTGTCTGTGTCCCTGTTTTCCCGCCATCACCAATATTGGTGTGTTTAAAAAGAATGTAGTGCTTAGTTTTTCTTTACAATGATAGTAGTTGCTCATTTTAAAAAGTTAAAAGTACGATAAAATACATATGTGTGGTGTGTGGGTGTATACATATCTATTTATCTAGAGGAGGGACCCATCGTCCCCAAATGACCACTATTAGTATTATGATTCCATGCTTCCGTTTCTTCTTTCTCAGCATGAAATTTGGACGGATGTGTTTTCGTGTTGTTTGATTGTACGTAGAGGTTATTAAGCAAAAGAAATTTTAGAACTTACCTTTTTTCTTTTAACGTCACGTGCGAGATTTTTTTTTTTTTTTTGTGCATCCTAATCTAGATTGCTTATAGCTCTAGATTGCTCATGCTATCGGATTTAAAAAAGCATGTTTTAATTAACTGTCCAGTTTCGGGGCATTTGGATTGTTTTGTTTATAACATGGTGATGAACATCTCTGGGAATAAAACTGCTTTCCTGTTTTTAAATGTGACTTTGTTTAGAACCATGTCCCCAGAATGGAATTATAAGGACAAAAGCGGTGAACGTTTTTTGGAATCTCAACAAGGCGGCCACATTTTCCGCTGAAGGGTTCCGTTATCAGTGTCAACTTCTTGAAAATAAGTGTGCTTTGGCTTGGATGGATGGCAGCTCTCTGGGGCAGCCAGGATGGAGTCCGTACCCGTGGTTACTTTCGTACATGACCTGTTCCTCTGAGAGCTTTCAGCACCCTAGTATTATGTATTATTTTCAGCCTTGCCTTTGGGTACCAAGGGGTACCGAGATGTGTGACTTGCTGACAGATGTACCCACTTGTGGGACCTTTGTTGTCCTACTACATCGTGGATTTCAGTGCTGACTCTCCGTAGGCTGCTCATTACTGTCTGTGGGTGTGTCTTCTCTTGTTCCCCAGGGAAGAGTGTTGCGTAGCTTCTGACCAAGTCCTTTTTGTGTGCTTGAGAACCAGGAGACAGAGCAACACTAATTGCTTCAATTACAGCTCAAAAAAAAAAAAAAAAAGAAAAAGAAATAGATGAGCATAAGCTTGAACGAGGCCACTAAGGTAGCAATCTTTAATGACAAACAGAATATGATTGAAAGAAACAGATCTACCTTGGAACAATTCGATACTGTTTGCAAAAAAAAAAAAATAATGGAGTATGATCCAATTTTTATACTTTTATTCTTTTGTAACATAGTCTTCCTTTCTCCAGTGAGCCTATATAATTTCTATAAGAAAAATTTTATTTAAAAAAATCTGAGCATAGCGTTTGCAAATAATAGTTATTTCATAAATACTGCTTTTCCTGTCCTGTGATTCAGATGCATTTTCTTCCAATAAACTTCACATGCCAAACCATAAATTACATAAACAAATCTTTAAGAAAATATTCATTTACTCAGCAAATTTTTATTGAATGCTTTTTTATGTTCCAGGCACTGTTTATAATGTTTATGCAAAAAAAATGAATGTAATAATTCTTTTTTTTTTTTTTTTTCCTTTTTTCTACTCCTCTTCCCTGCCTGGTGTAGTCTGAAGTGTCCTGGATCCCCAACAAACACTACTCTGGCATTTATGGTCTGATGAAGCTCGTCCTGACCAAGACTCTTCCTGCCAACCTGGAGAGGGTCATTGTCCTTGACACAGATATCACCTTTGCGACCGACATTGCAGAGCTATGGGCCGTGTTCCACAAATTCAAAGGTAATTGTAGCCACATTTTCCTGGTATTTTTGAAGGTGTTGTCATGCCAAGAAGAGTGATTGTATTTTTTTTTTTAATGTGAGGCCCGCATTTAATGAGGTCATGCTGATGAAATGGACAAGGAGTTACAAATCTAGTTAAGTATCAACTCTACTGGCATTTGAAGCATGTTCTAATCAAACTGGAATTGGTTTGTGTTTCTTTAGTAAATGAAGAGGTCATGTTGGTGTTTATAGGAAGAACCCAATTTAGGATGCTTTGTAAGAGATAAATGTCAGATGTGTATATTTTGTATGCAAGTAATTGAGTGTTGACTTACCTGCATTTATCAGTTTTGGGTTTTTTTTTTTAATCAAATGATGCTTTGATTGCTGAGAAAGGCCTTTGAGTTGGTGGAGATGGGTATTGATTATAGTGTTGGAAAATGTTCTTACGGCTTTTGCTTTCATTAATGTTGTGGTTTATCACTTTAAGGAGGTATATAAGTTTGACTTTATAAGACATTCCTTCTTGTCTGGTTAGTTTTTTCTTAGCCATCACTGTAGTTCTTGTCACTGCCTCAAGGTGTATGAGGTTATGTGGTGGGGAATTGTGAGCCCAGTAGGTGTTACTTGACTCTGGCATGGATGCATGGGAGAAGTGACAAGTTAGCACAAATCTTGGGCTTTTATTTTAATCCCCCTTCCAGATGTCTTCCTTAAAATTGCATTCTTACAAGTTCTTCTCTATATTAGACAAATCCAATGAGAGATAAATTTGGGAGTGAGTTTTTTTTCTTTATTTCTTAGTTTTCTTTTTAAAATTGCATTCTGGCTTCCGTGTTTAAAATCTCTCCTCCTGCTTCTCTGTAGCTCCTTATCCTATGAAGGTGAAATACTACTCAGTGATCTAAAATCACCGCATTTTCATAAATCACAGGATATTCCAGTTGGTGTCTGTTTCCATTCATGGACAGAAGAGTAAATTCCTCACCTACTGCAGTCTCTGCCTGCTTCTTTTAGCGGGGTGGGAGGTGGGAGGGGACTCTTACTCTAGGCTAATTGGAAAAAAAGTCCTCAGTGTATCATGGGGAGACACTCTGACACTCAGGCTCTTTCCTTTGTCAGGATCAAGACTTACTTTCCTTACCCGTGTCAGGAATGACACTAAGAAAGACGTCATTCAACAAAGATGTTGAAACTGAGTGTGTCTCAGCTCTGGTCTCTTCTTCATAGAATGTTGGGATCTGTCCTTTTCAAGTCACAAGAAAATTGAAGCTTGAAGGCATGCAGGGTTGAGACCAGAGTTGAGACCAGAATGCACATACATATGCTTCTGTGTGCATCTCTTCTCAAGTTCCCCCATCATTTCTGCTTGTTTTTCTGACTGCATTGAACTCCTTGGGGACAGGTTTTTTGTTTTCTCTTTTTTTAATTGCGGGGAGGGGCAGAGGGAGAGCGAGAATCCCAGGCAGATTCCATGCCCAGCACAGAGCCCGACGTGGGGCTCGATCCCATGACCTTGAGATCATGACCTGAGCCGAAGTCAGGAGTCAAACGCTTAACTGACTGAGCCACCCAGGCACCGCTGGGCAACAGTTTTTAAAAAATAATTCTGTGACACTCACATTTTCACACTTATGTCCAGTATTCAGTGATGTGTTTATTCAGCAGACGTTTATTGCATCTCTACTGGGTGTCGCTGGTATGCTGGGCTCTGGAAATAAAGAGATGAGCAAGAATGAGAGTTACCACCTCTCCTGGAGGGGATCGGAGAAGGCAGCTGGGAGGGCATCACAGGGGAGGTGGTCATCGTGCTCTGACTTGCTGGAGAGGCGAAGTGGCTGTGTGCGGTGAGTGCCCACATTCCCCTTTTGGAGTAAAGGACTTTGACTCCAGTTCCTGGGAGTGCAGCCCTGCAGATGGCCCCCAGCCATCAGCCCCTTGGGGTAGGGCCACAGGTGAAGAGTCACATGCCTCTGGCCACGGGGCCTTCCTGGGGAATGTGGAATCTTGCAGGGTCTGCTGTGACAACCCAGTCACAGCTGGATTTCTCCCTCTGCCTGTCCTCTCACCTTCCCTTTTCAGATGCCTTTCCCAAGACCACTCCCTAAATTAACCTCTTGCACGCTGACTTCCATATCAGAGTCCTTTTCCCCAGAAACGCAACCTGCAATATGCATTTAAAGCTACAAGTCTCTCTTGGAGAAGTGTAACCCAGCAAACTCCCTGGAACAGTTGGTCACTAATTGTAGTGTTGTAGCTGGGAAATCCCATTTATTCTGTCCCAGCTAGGACCTGCCGGAGTGCTGGTGGGGTTCTGAAGCCAATAACAACAATAGTATAATCGTGGTGTTAAATCCCCCATATCATCTGTGGAAGGGGAGGCTCCCAAGGTGCTTGCTGGCCCAAGGATTGGGATCCTGGGGCAGAGCAGAGTATATGGGCCAAGGTCGGGACAGGGATGGGAGCACTTGAATGCAAGGAACTGAGTTAATGGGCTGCGTTTTATTTGTTCGTGCTCGTGTTGGTTTATTTCTAGCACTTGTTAGGCCCCTGCTGTGCAGAAGAATGTATTAGATGCTACTGTTACCTGAAACTGTCCAGAACACAGCACTTGCCTTCAAGGAGCTCACAAACAAGGCAGGCTGCCTTATATTTTTATCTTACCACCAGCAAAGGAGTGTAAAAACATCTGAGGTTTTCCCATGCCCACTCTTAACTTTTCTGGGAAAATACGGAGGTGAAAGGAAGATAAGTAAGCTCTTCTCTTCTCCATATGGCACTCTTTTGGACAGGGTTGGTTTTTTAGGGGTTTTTTGTTATTGTATTGTAATTTTTTTTTTTTCTAAACTGGAACGATTAGCAGCCAGGTTGTGGAACAGGAAGAGGAAGAAAGCACCTGAGCACAGACCCACGAATTTAGAAAGCTCTGATCCAAAAGGGAGAGTTTCCTCTCTCATAAAGGCAATTGCAGTTGGCATCCTTCACTGTAAACATTTTGAGTGACCCCAGTGCAGTTTTTGGCCTTGTTCATGTTTCTCTGTTTTACAACAGCTAGTTATCTGGGGCTCTTGTGTTCAGATCCCATATGCTTGACTCCTTAATAGTGCTTTGAGATCCCCTCTAAATCCCTTACATGGAGACTCTAGTAAGAAGCCTTTTAGTAAGGGCTTCGGAGCCCCCCCCCCCCACCTCTGCCATGGACAACTTTGTGTGCCTCTTGGGGATGTCCACGTGCCCCTGGAGCCTTGACTTCCCCTAAATGGCAGGTGCCTCCCTCCCCACGTCAGCAGTCTGCACCCTTATCACCATGTGCAACTGTTGGCGAATTTTCAGATCCACTGATTCTCAGCAAAAGGAATTGGAGTGCCACGGATGGCGAGAGTAAGGAGCCGCCCATTCAGTCATGGAACTGAGCTTCGTAGGGGCCAAACTGTTTCCTGACTGTTGGGAATGTTGCAAGAATAAGAGAAACTCAGCCCCTACTCTGGCAAGTGTGTATTTGAGTAGGGAGAAGACTGACAGTAAACAAGTGAAATATATAACACATTCGATGGTGATTAGTGCTTGCTCTGGAGGAAATTGGTGAAAGCAGATGAGGAATGTCTCTATGGGCACACGCATTGTTTTACGGTGGTAATGGAAGCTCTTACAAAAAAGGTGACATGTAGGGCGCCTGGGTGGCTCAGTCGGTTGGGTCCGACTCTTGGTTTCAGCTCAGGTCATGATCTTAGGGTTATGCGATTGAGCCCTGCATCATTTTCTATGCTCAACGTGGAGTCCACTTAAGATTCTCTCCCTCTGCCCTCCACCCCCATTCACACTTGAGTGCTCTCTCTCTCTCTCTCTCTCCTTCTATCTCCCCCCCCCCTCTTTCTCTAAAAGAAAAGAAAAAGGTGACATGTAAGCAGAAACCTGAAGAAGTTGAGAGAACAGGCATGCCAGGGTGCCTAGAGGAAAGTGGAATAGTGTCCTAGGCATAAGGAACAGCAAATGTGAAGTTTTGGGAGCCTTGTGGCCTGGCAGGTTTGAGCAATAGGATGGAGGGGGCTCAGGAAGGATGGCAGGCTGATGGGTCAGATCAGGGAGGCCTCCTTTGTCAGGCAGAGGGAGGATTGTGCCTGTCCCTTCAGTGCTGAGGGAAAGCCATTGTGCAGCTTTGAGCAGGAGTGATGGGACCTGTTTGATGTTTTTAATGGGTCATCCTGGCTGCCCATCTGAGCATAAGAGGAAGCAAGGAGACCATTTCCGAGACGGGGCAGCCCCGGGACCCGGGTGCAGCAGCACAGGTGAAGACCTCGTCGTAGTAGGGGTACGTCTGGGAGGGGGAGGCATCAAGATGTTCTGCTGGTTGGATGTGGGGGCGAGAGAGAGCAGAGTGCAGGCTGCGTAAGCCGCCACGCAGACTGCACGACGGCTGCGCAAGGAAGATTTTGGTGGGGGACCCTTTAAACGTGAAATGCCTAAATTGGGCATCCACCTGGAGAGGGGGAGGGGGAGGCAGAGAACCGAGTATTTGGAAAGCAAAGGGAAAGTACTAGTTCCTGAGGACTGCTTCTGTTCCAGGCACTGAGCTGGAAGCTTTGCACATTTGAAAACCAGAACAAACTGGGCCCAAGAGAGGCTAAATAACTCTTCCTGTCCAAAGAGCTCCTCGCAGCAGAGCCGAGGCCTGGACCATCTGGCCGTGGAGTCTGCACTCTGCTTCCTGCCTCTCCGGCTTCCTGATGGCCTGGGGTTGGGAGGTGCGGGGGGGGGAGGGGGGCATAGGCCTGGCGGTGGGGGACTCGCGCCTTAGTTCGGCTGTGCCCCCGATCGTGAGTCCTCCACCATCCCTGAGCACCATAGTTTTCCTGCACAAAAATTTGGAAATAATACCTGATTTTACAATATGAAGGGGTTGTTAGGAAAGCATAAATAAATGTACCCCCATCATTTGAAGCTTTTAGAAGAACGCCATGTTCAATGTACTATTTTTATTCTTGAGAAGAAATGCCTTCCCTTTAGGAAGAGTCTGTTGCCATAGCGTAAAGCTCTGGACCCCAAACAGGTCCGGTGGGCGTATCGAGCACAGGGGCGCATCCCCCTGCTCGCCCCCATTGTGCCCCGGTGTGGGCCGCTATACCACACCGGGTGGACATTTTTTAAAAACTAATAGACTCACCGTGGACTAATTACAGCTAACATTTTTAAGCACTTACTCTGTGCCAGCCACTCTGTGAAGCACTTTATGGTGAAACTCATTTAATCCTTAACAACACTCCCATGAAGTAATAATGGTGAATGTTTCCATTTTAAAGATCTGGGACCTCACACTTGGGAAGGTCAAGTAGCATGACCAGCGCCTCAGCGCTTAGGTTGTAGGACCAGGATTTGAACTCTGATGACCCGACTCTAAATCCTGTACCCTTTCCCCTGCACCTACGCTCCCTAGAAGGGCAGATGGTGGAGCTTAGAGTCTGTGGAGAGACCAAAGTTAGATAGATGAGGGCAGTCTAGGTGACGACAGGAACCAGGTTGTAGAAGGCATTCAGAGAACAGCACTATGGAGGCGAAATCAGGGCCGTGGAGACGTGTGGTTTTCCCAGGAGCTGAGAAATAAAATTTTGGTTTCCAGAATCCTGGCCCAGATGGTGACATCCCAGAACATCATCTATAAAGTAGCTGTGAGCCCCAAGAGCTCTACTCATGCACTCATCGTGGTCAGTAGAAGGGTGGCAGAATCGGGGTCACGCTGTGACCACGGGCGGTTTACCTGACTTCTCTGGGCTTCAGTGAGCCAGGAACAGTGCCAACAGGGTCTTTGTGAGGAGTGCACGAGATAGCGTGCATTATCATTCCCCTGTCCCGTTTTTCTCTAAGGATTCCCGCCAGAGGGTGTGGGGTAATGGCGGACATCCCTTAAAGTGTGTCTGCTCCATTACCTTGCAGCTTTGTCCACAAAGCCATCGAGGCTGGCGTGACTGTAAGTGTAAAATAATGTGGAAACGCTGAATATGAAAAACCTTGAAAGTACTACTTTTGAAAAGACAGTTGCAGAACTTCTGTGATTATAATCACTTGCTTTGGAGGAGTTTTTAGACACTCTTAACATTTCTCCAGGTCACATCTTTATTTCTTATCTTGCCTGGGCTGCTCCTCCCTCCCTTCTCCCCTCCCCCCTCCCCCCCCCCCAGCCTTCCCCCTTCGCTCTGTCAGTGGAACTGGTGGGAGTAGAAAAAGCCTTGCAAAGGAAGACATCAGGTTTCAAATCCCTGCTGGTCTGCTTATCAGCAGGATGGTCTTAGGGTGTCCATTGAACCTCCCCACCGCGCTCCCTTACCGGTAGAGAGAGCGCACTGACACTGTCTCACAAGGGTGTGGATTTGGGGAAGTGATCCTGGTGCCCGGTAGACGCTTTTCCTTCCTTGTTTCCTTTTTCCTTTTCCTTCCTATCCTGTCTTATCTCATTTGCCCCTTTTCCTCTGACTTTGAATCCTTTCCCTTCGCTCCCTTCACTGACCTCCGAGTGAGGCTCCACACCTCCCTCCCTTACAGGGAATCAAAGATGGCCTTGGAGGACCACCACCCCACACAACCTCGCACTGGTGGGGTCTCCCTGAATAAAGCCTGCCCTCCTTGGCCAGGCCGGCTCTGGAGAAAGTACGCCTCCCCTCACGGTCTGTTCCCACCTTCCTGGAGAGGCTGTTTTGCCCCAGAGAAGAGAAGCAGAAATCTTTAAAAAGATACAGAGTTTCACATGAGGTGCTTTTCAACGACTGGGACAGCCAGTGTCTGTGTGGGGGATGCTCTGTTAGTGCCCAAGGCCCGGGAGTTCTGCTGGGACGGGGTGAGGCTCCTCTGGGGGGTTTGGGTTTCATGTTAGGCTCCACTCAGAGGCTGGGGCATTTCTTTGCATCTGTGCGGTAGTTTCAGACATTATCCTGCACTCCTCCTGTTCGTAACTTTCCTGCCTCACCACTACTGTTCATCATTTCATTCAACCTCTAATGCCTAGCTGATTTTCCACTTGGAAAGTTCAAAGGCCTTTTACATTATTGCTCCTTGTATGCTTGTTTCTTTTGAGTCTGTTGTCTCCTTCCACTCAGAGTCCAGGAGCTAGCTCTTTGCTTCTCTCCTTAGATAGATGTTCATGGATAAGATAGATATTCTTGTCCATTGGACAAGCCGAGATGTTCACCATTGGGGGAGCATCAAGGATTGAATTCCTGGCGAAAGTGGTGAAGACGTTTTAATGATTTTTTTTTCCCGTTAACTTTGAAGGGGATCTGCTTTCTTTCACTATATTAGAAAAATCCTTCCACTTCCCTGAGCCTCTTTTCTCTTGCTGTTCTGTGAAAGTAGGGGAATAAGACAGCAAGCACCACCCCCGCATAGGTTTTATTTTGGTAGTTAAGTCGGGAAGTGACTCTGCCTTGCACACTACTTCCTCGGTGATCATTCCCTTTACCATGGGCATCTTTGTTTTCTTCTTGTTCCTCAACCAGCAGCTCCGGAGAGTTAGGGAACAAAAGCCCGCCTGCCCCCCTGCCCCCCATCCCCCCATCGCTGTGCCTTCCACATGCATTCGGTCACTTGTTCTTTCATTGATTCATTATGTCTGGAGCCCTTGGACCTGCCCCAGGCCTGGGAGATCAAATCATAAATAAGGCAGACCCAGTCCTGCCCTCCCGGGGCTAATTTCTGTTACTTACTTTTCACGTGTCAGGCACTGGGCTCATGTAGCCCTCCTAAAAGTCTCTAAGTATCTTGCCGAGAGAATACAGCAAGCTCATGACAAAGCCCCGACTGCAGCCATGGTGGCCCCCGAGCCCAAGCTCTTGACCACTAGATTCTAGGTCCAGCGGAACACACGGTTACATGAAAGTCTGGTGGGTACCTTGAAAGGGAGAATCACATTCCCTGGTCAGGCGGGTTGAGGGGGTCAGGAAGGCTTCTGAAGGGAAGAGGCATGACGACATTAGCCTCCGTGTCCTCTCCTAGGGAGAATACTACATGCAGAGGCCCGAGGTCCCCAGAGAGGATGGTGCAGACAAGCAGTGAAAGAAACATTGAATCTCCTCAAACAGACTGGGTGGGCTCCTGCCTCGGGTCCTTTGCTCTGGTGTCCCTCCACCGGGAGTGCTGGCTTCCAGATCACTCTGTCTTGCTGCCACAGCTCCCTGCAGGTCTTGGCTCAGATCTCAGCTTCTCAGCGAGCATCTCCCTGATTGTTCCCTTCCATCCTGCCACCTGAGATGCCAGCCTCTCGCTCCCACCCTGCTCTTTCCATGTTCTTTATAGCACCCATCACCTTCTAGCCCAGCTTGCAAGGATTTATCGAGATGGCTGACCCCACCCACTACACCACGAAGACCCAGGTCCCTGGATGCACCTGGCTTCACCTGGTTATTGTGTGTCTTTCCTGCTGATGTGTAAATACTGCCTTTGTCTGTCTTGTTCCTGAGACATTTCCAGCATCCAGAACAGTGCTGGGCAGATAATAGGTGCTCAGTATTTGTCAGATAAGTAAATGAGCAAGTAAAGCATGTGATTCTAGGTGATTTGTGTGGGAGGAAATGAGAGGTACAAAGGAAAACCAAGACGTTGAAAGTTGTGACCGTATGTTTTGAGTTGGCTACTGCTTCAGTCCAAGCAAGACTTGTTGTGGCCTATAACAGGATAGTGCCCTTGGGACAAATCAAGGACATGGATTAGAGACGAACTGGGGAAGTTGAATGGATAGCACTGGCTAAGGAGTTCAGCATTGAATGTGCAAAGATGGATGAGCAGGTCTGGATCTGACAGCCAAGGACTGGGCTGGAGGTATCTTAAGGTGTTTCTTTTTTGGAAGTAAAATAGTGTTCTCACCGTGTTATTACAGTTTCCTTTTCTGAACATCCCAGTGCTCTACTAGTGTAGAATCAGGAGGTGCTCATCCCGTGGCCCTGGTCCTGAAGGGAGAGTGGCAGGATTTGCTGTCCCCACTAGAAGGCTAATGAGCAGTCGGCAAGCACCCGGGGCTTGGGGGGCAGGGTGAGGTGCAGTTGGCAAACCCTGGTCCGTGAGGAGGAGCGGTGAAGCGAGCGCAGAGCAGAATTTATCCAAGGAAGATCCCTGACCTCACTCGCCCTGATGGTGCAGCGCACACCCGGCGACGGAGGTCCCCTCCTGCCTCCTGTGGCCATGCATTCTCAGGCCAGCCGTGCCTGGGTGTCTGGGGCAGAAGAGCCACGGTGCTCCATCCCCGGGAGCCCCCTGGCTGGGCAGAGGCGACCTCTGTCCACCGTGTGGCTTTCCTGAATGCACTTGGGTCCAGGCGCTCTGTGGGATGAGCTGGAGGACACTTGGAGGTTCCCCAGGATGGGGAGGACAGACAGATTTCTAGACGTGGCTGTGAAGTGTTTCTTCCCTTCTTCCCTAACCAGCTGCTCCCCATCCTCCTGCCTTCTTTATACCCTTGGCACTGTCTCAAACGTTTCGTGCCTCTGAAACGGGGACGATAATACCGCTAGGGTATTGTCATGCAGGTGATGTGGGATGTTCCACGTAGCGGTTAGCCCAGTGCCTGGCACAGAGCACGACAGCGTGTAGCTGCTGCTGGTACTAACATTGGAGTCATTCCATTGTCATCACAAGAAGCCGGCTGTTCCCATACCTACGACTCAGGCTGGGGGGATCTTGGTATGAGAGGCGGCAGAATGAATTCTCCGTGAGTAAGGCCCGCTGCCCGATCCCGGAGGAGGGCAGCCTGGGAGGAGGGTACTGGAGGAAGAGTCGGGATTTTGTCCTGCCCGGAGAGCGCTAGCTGCGTGTCTCGGCAGGGAGAGCACAGGCTGTGGACCGTGAGGGTCCCCCGGACCTGTGTCTGGGGCCGGCTCTCCCATCCAGGGTGCACTTCCATTGCTCAGTCTCGATGGGGGTTGGAGGCAAATATGTAATTCACCTAGCACTTTGCCGGTATTCGTGATATTTTCTCAGTTCTTCAGTGTAGGCTTTTTCACATTTTACTGTTTCTGAAATTGGGATGTGACTTACAAAAGTAATTGGCCTGATGGTCTTTTTCTCCTGGAAAATATTTTGATATCTCCCACAGTCAGTGGCCTCTGAGAATCCAGAAAATATGGTGTTATTATTTTTATTAGTATTATTTTCCTAGCTTTTCCTTTTATCTTGGAGTGGTAGAGGAGGAATGGAGGTAGGGTAGACTGGAGAAGAGCGAGCTGAATTGGGAGGTCGATCAGAATTAGTAAAAGAGAGGGATCTGGGGATCTTAGAAGGCCACTCTCTGATTACCTGTTATTGTATGACCGCAGGGTCCTGGGGAGTTTGTGCCATTGCTATTTTTGGTAAACACCTTGCTTGTATTTCACACGTTGGAATGGTTACCATGCCCCGATGAGCCCCCCTTCCATTGTGGAGAGCAACCATGTTTCCTGGGTATAAACCTTTATGTTGTGGGCAGGGAGGAAGGGAGGAGGTCGTCAAGTCATGGAACACCAACATTTTAGACTGAAATTTTCAGGAAGAGATATTGAAAAGCTTAGGCATTAAACCCAGAATTACAGGAAGCTGCTCTTGCCTAAAATCTTTTCTTGCTCATTTAGACATTCAGTAAATATTTATTGAGCAGCTACTTGGTACCAGACATATAAGCTATGCTTCCTAGTGCTCAGTCCATTAGAAATTCGTGTGACTAACTCATCCTTCCTTGAAAAAAAAAATCTGATACTTCTGGGAACAGTTTAGAGTGACCTGCCATTAATGTGAATTATTTAGGTTGCTTTTCTGTCGTTTCGCCGGTATCAGTTGCCTTGAGGCAAAGAGATTTTGATGGTGAAGGTAGCTGGTGGATGCATCGAGGGGATGGGGCTGTCCTCGGTCATTCTGGGGGATGGGAGGGTGAGGGAGCCGATTGGGATCAAAGGCATGAGGGACTTAGCTGGGGTGATAGAGACAGGTACAGAATAGGTAGTGGGAGGAAGCAAGAGGCAAATACCTGTGGAATGAATTTATGGAGACAAAGACAAAGCCCATCTTTAGAATCATGTGCTCAGAATGGAAGGCAATTTTTTTTTCTTGTTTATAAGTATTTTAGCCAAAGGGACCTGATGTGAAGGAGAGCTCTAGGGTGGAGGCCGGCTTCTGGTATCAGAATTACCTGTAGGGTCTTTCCAGATAGCACGCAGCCAAGGCCCACTCTGTCCTCCCCCTCCCCTCCCCCGCCCCCACAGTGGCCTGGACATCACCAGTGATTTGGGATTCATTATCTTCATGCAGGGTTTCTCCAGCTTGGCACTATTGACATTTGGAGCTGGGTCATTCTTTGTTGGGTGTGGGGGCTGGTTCTGTACATTGTAGCGTGTTCAGCAGGATCCCTGTCTCTACCCACTAGATGCCAGTAACACCACCCTCCCCAGTTTTAACGACCAGAAACATTTCCTGGTATCACCGCATGTCCCCTGAGCGGCCGGGGGTTTCTCTTTGAGAACCACTTCCTTAGTGGCCCACCATTACGGATGAAAATGTGCAGGGTCAGGTGGTGATGGTTTTAGGTGGTTGATAATAATGCTTCAAAAGAAGAAATAAAATCTGAACTTTCTATAGCTTGTTTACCAGTTCATACCATGGAGACCCCCAATCATACGCCCTTTGAATGACTTTCTGAATCAACCCTGTGTTTAAGCTCCTGTTGTATGTGGTTCTGACTTCTCTTCCCTTGTTTGTACTCAGCACCGGCCTCAAAAATGCTTGAACTGTACATTTTCTCTTTTTCTAGGGCTGGAGATAGAGTTGAATAGCCAGTAGTGAATTTTCTTTTTCAGAAAATAAATAAATGCATTCATTCCCCTGTACCTGGAAGGATACATGATGCCAAGGGAAAGTATGATTGAATTAACCAGACTCAAATGCATTCATATCCCTAGAAGGCCACGATTCTGTTAGGATCCACTGGAATTTATAGTCTGCCCCTGAAATTACAAGAGGGACCAGCTCACTACTCATCTACATACTCATGAAGAGAGGAAATCGGCGCATGTCATTCTGTGACTACCGCAAGGACACAATTTTTTTTTTTACCCTCCTGAATGCATATACATAGATTATTAGCAGCATCTAATGTATGACAAGGACGGACATGGCCTGTCAAGGAAGACAAATAGCTATTCTCTTCTCCACACAGTGCGCTGGGCTTGCCCATCTGGAAGAGTGCAGTGGGCAGAGGTGTGTGTGCTGATTCCTTATTGAGATGGATGGAGGGGCCATTTAAGGCAACACTGTCAGCCAGTGAAGGGCGAGGTAAAATCACCAGCTTCCCTAGAAGCCAAGGATTTTTTTTTTTTTTATTAACAACCATCTTCATTAGAAAAGGAAGTCGGGTTTCTGTTTTTGTTTGTTTGTTTGCCTTTGGATTGGTCTCAGGGACAAAGAGGTCATGACAACTTGGGGCTTCTCTTTTTTACTGCTTAGATAGCAGAAGAGGCCCCAGGTTATATTCCATGATGGCAAAATGTCCTATAAGATTAAGAAGAAGATTCCCTAAATCCAGCCAATAATCCTTTTTATTTTTGAAACGATGTGATACTAGGTTTTCAAAAACGGAGGAGGCAGCCCTTGAAGGGCTTGGGGGAAGCGGGGAGGAGGGAAGGGAGGGCTGGTTGGCAGGGATGGAAATTATATTTTTTTCAGGTGAACTTTAAAATTTTGGAACAGTTTTTGATTTACAGAAATATGATGCAAGTAGTCCAGAGTTCCTATATACCCTCCCCCCTCTCTCCCTTACTATTCCCATCTTACGTTAGTAGGGTACATTTTGGGGGGAACTTGCCTTTTTGTTCCTGCAGCCTAGATGCTCTGTATACCTTTGCTCCATTCATCACAACAGTCCTGACAGAGGGATAGTCCAATCTCCATTTTATAAGAGTGAAAACCAACACTTACAGAGGTTAAATAACAGACCCAAATCATCTCACTAGTACGTGGCAGGGCCACAGTCACGGCCTCTGTCCTTTGCCAATAAGCCCACAAGTTGTTAAGCACTGCTCCCTGTGGGAACTCCGCTG